TCCAGAAGGTTAAACTCACCTCACAGGGTGTCACCTGCTCCCCACCACCCTTTGTCTGACACCCATTCCCCCAGAGAAGGGCTTGTCACTGCCCCAGCTGGACTGCTCTCCGGGGTCATTATGGTCCATGAGCTCAGCTGCTCTGGTCGCAGGCAGTGGCTGTACTCTGCGGCCACCACAGTGGGAGCTGGCAGGAAGAGTTTCCCTCAGAGGCTGATGGGCTGTGATGAACTGAGGAAGTGTGACAGCTACTGGGGAACAAGCTCATCAATTAGAGCCCTCTCGCCCAAGGGCTTCTGGGAAGGGATGTTGCTGCGGAGGGAGTGAGACTAGCTGAGCGAGACTTCCTAGGTCCTCCAGCTCCAGCCGACTTCAGTTCCACAGAGGAACCCCAACTCTCCTTCCTGCCTTCCTGGTGGCATCTGCCTTTGGCTGTGGGTGTATCCACTCTCAGAAGGAGACCCTCTCCCTGAGCAGCTGGCTTGAAGTCTCCCTAGAACTAGAAATTTTCTCAATACGATGGGAATATTTGAGAGCTGAGTCTGTGCACAGATGGGAAAATGAACATTGTTACCTTCTTTCACACTCTGAACCTCACACTCAGCGGCTGGGACATGTAGGAAATCTTGGTTCAGAGGGGCTGGCCTTGAAGTATCAAGCTGAGGTGGAACCAGGCCAAGGATAGGAAATGCATGCAGGTTCTTTATATACACACAGGAAGTGTCTGTGTGGGTATTGTGGGCAGGGAGGAGAACCAGGGCATTGGGTGGTTCCTCTACCCTCAGCTCTAGCTTTGCCCCTCAGGCAGGAGGGTGAGCTTCAACCACTGTCCCCAGGGGCAGGCCTAATGGGCACAGATGTATTGTTTTATATGGTTCTAGTGGGCCACTATCTATGGCAAAGACCATAAGTAACTCAGATGAATCCTTTTAAGAAATATTCTTACATTTACAATGTGTGTGTGTGTATGTGTGTGTGTGTGTGTGTGTGTGTGCACGTCATTGCACACGCATGGAAGACAGAGACTGCAGTAAGAGTTGGTTTTCTCCTTCTACACTGTGGGTCCTGGGGTTCTAACTCAAGACATCAGTCTTGGTGGCAAGCATTTTACCCGCTAAGGCACTGTGCCAGCCCGAGATAACTCTGAATTGCCTATGCTTTATGACAAGGGGTAAACCGGCATTTAGAATCGAAGAAATACAGTCATTCTGGAGACACACTGGTATTGGCAGAGTGTGGAATGTGGAAGCCCTGAATTGTGAACAGGAGATGCTGGTGTTAGGGCCTCGGGAAAATAAAAATTAAAAAAGACCGACGGCTTGCCTAGCAAAAAGATGGAGGTGTAGGCTAAGAGTCTACTCAGCAAGGGCCATGGGCGAAGTCTTGTCTCAAGGTCTCCTTATTCTTCACAAGCTAGTCACCAGAGGGCCAGCTTCTGACACCCATAGACCCAAGGAGGAGATTCTACCCAGTGATGGCCCTGGAGGCTGCTGACAGCCAGCCTTGGCTGTCCAATAGGGTGCTGAGGGCAGGGAGGCAAGCTCTCTCCCTCTTTCCTCATCTCAAATTCATGCACCTCCTGCCTCAGCTGATCTCATAGCTGGGATCATAGGAACAGGTCACTATGGTCAAGCTAGGAGAAATTATAATGTAGAGATGTCTGAGCATGTCTGGTGACCTCAGGGATCAAGAGCGCCATATCCCAGCTATGGGTTCAGAAGAGGTACTTTATCATGTACAGTTCAGAGTGTGCTAGCTTGCTGTGTGGTACTAGGCAGCCGCACAGCATCTCTGGGCCTCTGGTTCCTTCTATGCAAGATGGGAAAGGGACACATCTTTCTTCCACAGGATCAAGGAACGAAAGGAGCTAGAAAGGGCTGGGCTCAGTTCCAGACCCACGTGACATGTTTGGCCAACAGCAAGTATATATGTGAATCCATTCTCAGGGTAGTGGTCGGGGAACAAGAGATGGGAACAAGAGATGATGGGCTGTTGGAACAGAAGGAGGAAGATGCAATGATGACCCCACCCCAGCCTTGCACACCTGTGTGCACTACTGACATCAATAAACAAGACCCATTCCTCTTGCCCCTGGCAGAGTGGCCTAAAGGAAAGAAGAACCAGGGCCAGGTCAAGAGTGTAACGTGGATTCAAAGCCCATCCTTGCACAGTGACATGGCTGAGCGGACTAGCCAAGCCTGTGGTTTCAGTGGGGAAGGGGGCCCAAGCTCAGCTGGGCCACTCAGCAGAGTCAGGAGAGCTGGGCCTCTCTGTCCTCGTTGGACCTGGCCACCTGCCAGGGGAGCTCTGTTCACAGAGAGCCTGGTCGGCAGAGATAAGCACCAAGTCCTGGCCTGGGCCGGCTTCTTGCTTATAAGGAGGCTCATATTAATGGCTCCCCTCACTTCAGCGTGGTGGCAGTTAATATCCCAGCAAGAAGAAAGCCTAAGTGTGTATGAGGGGGTGCGGTTGAGGGAGATGACTGAATGGAAACCGGGAACATCTTGCTCTTTAGGGAGCTCCCCTCCCCTCAGCAGGAACTTGCAGCCCCTCCTGTCCTTGTGTCTTAAGCTCAGCTCTACAAGCTGGGAGCCGGCAATGGTCAGGAAAGTGCTACAAAGTTGCCCAGCAGCTTTCTTTCTAGTATAGCCCTGGCTGACTTCAGACGATGGAGACAAGGGTGATGGTGAACTTCTGGTCCTCCTGTCTCTCCCACGCCCTGAGCTTACGGGAGTGGGATGCCATGCCTGGTTTATGTGGTGCTGAAGCTATTGAACTCAGGGCTTCATGGATGCTAGGCAAGCACTCTACCCAACGGAACCACACCCATGCCCAGAAAGAATCCTGGGAGAGAAACTCAGTGCACTTGAGTCTCTTTCTTGAACTTCCACATTCTGGCTGGAGATGTGAGGCAGTGGATTGAGGGCGCCTTTGTATGCAGCCTCAGTTTACCCAGTAAGGAGCAGGAAGTAGTAAGAAGCACAGTTTTAAGCACACGGCCCCTTGTTTAGCACACGACCTGCACAACCACGCAAGGACGTCTTGCTCAGGAATAGGTCCCTGTCACAGTGGGTGGCTCCCTCACAGCTGAGCCCTGCTCACTCTTACTCTGCCCAAGGCCTGATGGCTTCTTAGAGTCTTAGTCCTCAAAGTGAGAAGGGATGACCAGCAGCACTGGCATCCACGAGAGCTTGGAAGCCCCGCAGAACCACAGGCCCTGTCGCAGACTTATAGAACCAGAGACCGGATATTAACAAGGTGCCTGGGTTGAGTCACAGGGGCATAACATTCGGCTTAGAAACACACTGTGTTGTCTAAACACTAAAGGAGGTGGGGGACAACTTGGGGAAGATCCAGAAAGCAGAGAGAGCCAGCCCACGAGGGTCAAGAGGAGCTGGCTCCGTGGCAGTACATTTGCCTAGAATCTGTCAGGGAGGGGCTGGGGCGTGACTCAGAGGGACAGTGCTTCCCTGGAATCTACCAGGGATGGGTTAGGCTGCAGCTCACAGTAGAGAACCTCCTTAGAGGTAAGGGGCTGAGGGCTCAGCTCAGCAGCAGAGTACTTGCCTAGAACTTGCCTAGAAGAGTCCGGAAGTGTGACTCAGCAATGGGGCACTTGCTTAACATCCCCAGAAGCTCTGAGTTCAGACTCCAAAACAGAAAGACTTGGAGGGTGGGGGGGTATGGGTAAAAGGGATAGGTTCTATGAGAAAAGGAAGTAATGGGGAGGGAGTAGGGACACAGGCAGGGCCCAGCCTACCAAGACCTAGCACTGGGGATCTCCTATTTGTCCCAGCCCATGGGAGCCCTAGCTGTCTGCTCCTAGTGGACAGAGAAGCCTGGCCTCGCAGCCCCAAATCCCAAAACTCAGGGCCCTCCTTGTACACAGTCCTGTTTCTACACGGAACTTTCATCAGGATCCCCAGGCTGGTGGGGAGGCCCGGCACCTCAATCACTCCTATCGCGCTGGCTGCAGGAAGAGAATAGCTTTCAGCTCAATTACCCTCACATTGCAATATCATAACGCTCCAATGAGGCTTTTTAACCAAAAACAAAAAAGCCGTGTCTGCTGCAGGCCGGCTGCGAGGCCAGCCGTGCAGAAGGGATGGACCTGCCCGGCTGACGGTCCCTACCAGGCCCTGTGGTTTATGGTACCAGAAAGGACTTGCTCTGAGCACCAGGTGAGTCCAGAGTACCCCCAAAGTACTGGACCTCAACTTACCAACATGGGCCCTGTTCCTGTTCATTGGCTGCTGGGATACGACTGACCCATGACCTTTGTTGGAGTAAGAACACTAAACTCCAAGTCCCAAGAAGCCCTATGGGGTGACACAGCTCAGAATGATTATCTGCGTCTTAATGCTGGTAGCCATCACCTCCTGGGTAACAGAGTACCACCCGGATGCCTTGCCCTGGCATTGGCAAGTCAGGACTGGAGAGATGAGTCTTAAATCTGCTATCATTTTGAACTCACTGGCCCTTCTGTTTCTTATAGCCATAGCCAAACGGTCACCCTGTCTTCTAGGTTGTTAAACTTAAGCAGAGGCCCAAGATGTAAGGGCCAAAGACACATTGAAAAATCCCCAATGCTATCTCAGGGAATCAGCAGCAGGATCGGCTCCTCTACTCCTTGGGTGTTGTCTTAATTATGTCTTAGACACCATGACCAAGGCAACTCTTTAAAAAGGAAAGCATTTGATTGGAAGCTAGCTTACAGTTTCAGAGGTTTAGTCTATTATGATGGCAGACAGCACGGTCACAGACACACACACACACACACACACACACACACACACACACACACACACACGATACTGAGCTACATCCTGATCCACAGGTCATGGGAAGAGAGAAAACTGGGTCTGAAATGAGCTTTTGAAACTTCAAAGCCCACCCCCTGGGACACACTTCCTCCAACAAAGCCCCACCTACTCCAAGAAGGCCACACCTCCTAATCCTTCTCTAGTGCCACACCCTGATGACTAAGCATTCAAATATAGAGCCTATGGGGGCCATTCTTACTCAGATCACCACAAGGATCATACAAGGGTCACCAAGCCCCACCTCAACTACAGCACTCGTTGTGGCAGGTGAGCCCTGTTCTTGATTGCAGAGAGGAATCTTTTGTAGGTTTGTGACCGCCCCCATTCTACGATAAGAAGAGCGGGTCCAGGAAAGCTCAATTGCTGGCCTGGGAGTTCAGGCCAGAATTCATAGCAGACCTGTGCCAATTCGAGTGTGTTTATCTCTGCCTCCTTCACAAGGGGCAGACATTTCCAAGTCTTGCTGGTCGGGGAGGAACAGGGTCCATCTGAACACTGTTCTTCTCTTGGACAGGATATTCTGGCTGCAAGCCATGCAGTTCCTGTGACTCCCCAGAAAAGCACAACAGTCCGTGTGTGTGTGTGTGTGTGTGTGTGTGTGTGTGTGTGTGTGTTTCACACACATCATACTATAGCAGCCTCTGACGAGCCATGGTCTAAAGAGGAGGCCGGCCACTTTCCCAATCAGCCGAGGCTCGCCTGCCTGGCCAGCACACTGCTAATGGCCTTGCTGGCCATGTCCCCTCCCTTCCTCCTCCTACCCTCCTGCTGGCTGCAGCCGATTTGTTCATGATTTAATGCTCTGGGGCGCTGACCCGTGAGGGAGACACTGGGACAGAAGGAGGCAGGGCGGACACCCAGTGAGGTGTGTGCAAGCGTGTGTGCGTGCCAGCGCAGGCAGAGCAGTCTCTCCAGGAACACACAGCCAGGAGGACTCTCTAGGACTGGGGGAGACATCTAGCACCCCAGTCCTGGAGGAAAGACTCTAAGGAAGGTTTGGGGGACCCCAGCTCCAAGACCCTGGCTATCCCTGCAGGTTTTCTGAGGATCCCAGGCATGGTCCCCTAATGTAGCATGATCTTCAGGCCACTGCCTAGACCCATGACCCACAAGAAGTAGTAAATCGCTCTAGAATTCAGCTCTGCTGTGTGATATAAGTGACTAACTTGATCTCTCTGGGGGCAGGTCCCCATCTTACAGATGGGATAACCCTAAGCCTATTGCTATGACCTTAGAGATATTGATGATCTCCAAGAGGTTCCCAGGCTGCTATTGCTGCTGCTGCTGCTGCTGCCTAATAGCAGAACCTTTCGAAGGCTAATGACAGGTCCATAGGTTACTGGAGGTGCACCTTCAACAAGGCTCGGGGGAACCCAGCCTCTCTTCTTTCCATTCCTGGTGATACATGTAATAGCTTGTTCCCATCATTGGCATCTACCATGTACTATGACATGATGCAGACCAGGGGCAGCCCTTGCCAAGCCTGAAGTGTGCCATGTAGACACTGGGTCCCAACGCTATTGGCACAATAAACCTTGTCTTACTTCGTAGGAGCACTGTCGGGCACTATGTTGAAGCAACCAGAAGCTGACTGATACCCCCGCGCCATCAGCTGACTGTGACAGGAACGTGAATGAGTGAGGGACATCCTCCATCCTCACTCCTGTCATTTCTATTGTCATTCTACCTTCCCTATACTCAGGACTCCTGGATTTGGTCCTTGCAGTTGTAAGATGGACTTCTCTCCAAGCAGCTGGTAAGTCTCGATGGATGGCCCATGTATGAGACAAGTCATAAAGAACAGAAATGATGGTCCATAGAGCCCCACTCTTCCTTCCCCAAAGAGAGGTACCCTGTGGATGGCAGCCTTTCCATCCTCAGTAACAAACTACAGATGAGGGACCCAGCAGGACGGGGGTTCCTATCTCTGCAGGAGGTGACCCTGTGTTCAGCAGGAAGGGGCCCGGTGTCTGCTGCTCACAGGGTCTATACTGTCTCAGAAGCTGCTACAGACAGGGCCAACCTTCCAAGCTTGGATACAGCTGCTGTGCCCAGCTCTGTCACCCAGAGGAAGGTGTGCTTGGGATCAGCCCCTACAGGGGCGGCAAGGGCAGGGGAGCCAGGAAAAGGTGGCACAAAGTGGGGCCAGCAGCAGACTGCTCAATTGCCCACTTTGCCCCTCCCTCAACAACACCTGAGAGTTAAGCTCTACTTGGTAGCTACTTGGTCCCAAGGTCGTAGGTCTCTGTTTCTGTTTTACAGGATGTCATTGTGGTTAGAGTAACCCTACCAGAGTTCCCTGGAGGTCAGGGACCATGTCATTCATCTCCTTTCTGCTATTCTACCTTTGGAGCATTTCTTGTGCCTATGGCCGCTGTAACAAATTGTTACAGACTTGTGACCGAAAGTAGCACAAATTTCTCACCTTTGAGTTCCAGAGTTCGGGACCCAGAGTGGGTCTGACTGGACTAAAATCAGAGTGCGGGAAGGGTGCTCAGAAGGCTTCAGGATGCTCTCAGCCCTGCCTTTGCGTTTGTGATAGGTTTGAATCCCATGGCTCACATTTGCATCCATATTTTTAATTGTTATACACACACACACACACACACACATATATATACGTATATATGTATGTATATATATTGTTTTTTTTAAAACAGGGTTTCTCTGTAGTTTTGGAGCCTGTCCTGGAACTAGCTCTTGTAGACCAGGCTGGCCTCAAACGCACAGAGATCCTCCTGCCTCTGCCTCCTGAGTGTTGGGACTAAGGGCGTGCATCACCACCACCCGGCTATAATTGTTTTTTATATATTTTTAACTAAGGTTCAAGGTATTAGACATCATCACTACGGTATTTCAACACTTCCAACTTTAAAGTCGGCAACATGACAACCCTCCCCCCATCTTGTCTGACCATCCCCTGGAGACAACGGGGCCATCCCATCAGTAAATCCCTGTGGCCAGATGAGGTAATAAGGCCACTGGGGGAGTCATCATTTAGCCGACCACATCTTTAAATGATGCCTGTTCTTTTGAATGAGGCATCCTCTCGTTTACTACCTCGACCAGTTCTGAACTCAGATGAAACCAGGAAGAACTCAACAAGCTTAGGGGTTAGAGTACCAGGGTCAGAGGTAGATTCACTTTCTCTCTCTCTCTGTCTCTCTGTCTCTCTCTCTCTCTCTCTCTCTCTCTCTCTCTCTCACACACACACACACACATACACACACACACACCACACCACACATTACACTCACAAGTGTGTTGATTTGGGGGGCCTGGTGATGTTAGACATGGAACCCAAGGCCTTGCTCCTCTTAGGCAGGTGTTCCACCATGGTGCTCCATCTTCAGCTGGAAGAGACACGCTGTCACTCATCCAAGGGACTGGAACTTGGATGGATTAGAGGGATGGGGAATGAAGGAGTAAGCCCCACTTGCCTCCTCTGCCCTGCACCGGGGACTCACTGTGCCAGCCTCGTTCCTGGCAACAGCCATCAGGTTCTGCAAAGCCCCACACTTCAGGATTTATTTCCTCAGCCACTGGCGCCGCCCCGGTCACCTGCGGCCTGCTGGAAATGTCTGTAATCGCGGCACACTTTAGGCATTACTTCCACACCATTTAGGGTCTTCCGCCCCAGTGATTGCTGACACATCGCCTCCATCTCCATCTTTGGGGCTGTGGTTGGTACAATTCTTTTAGGGTTTGCTAGCCCCTGGGTTTGGAAGACCTGATGGTATGGGGGGAGGTGAGGCATGAGACAATGTGTTACAAGAATTAATTCCCCTGTCCTCCACCTGCCCCAGCCCTGACCAGCAAAGGAAAAAAAAAACAAACCCATTCCAACCTCTAAGAAACCTTTAAAGATTTTTGTGTTTTCTCATGCGGGCCAGAGATGGGGCTGCCGATATGAACGGCCACTAGGAAGGAGGCAGAACACAATAAACTCATCTCAAAGAATCTTTCCTAAGCACATACCCTCCCCCCTTCCACCTCCAGGCTAAGGCTGTTCCCTGGAGACAGCAAACCCCTACAGCTGACCCCAAACCCAGTGTGGATGCTGCAGAGACAAGATGCATGTAGATTGGTCTTGGCACAGCAAAAACTGTGAGAGTCAGGGTTAGCTGTGTGACCTTGGACAAGATACTTGTCCTCTCTGGGTTTCCCTAACTAGATCATTGGGAATCTGCCCCTCACGCCGGTTTTTCAAGGACGTCTTTGAGGTTTTTTTCCTCTCTTCCCCCTTCTTCTTTAATCCCTGTACTCCATTAGTTTCCTACTCAGCTCAAGGTACCTGCAGCGGTGTCCTAAGCTGGGGAAAGAGTGTCTAGGCCCCTCTAGGCAGACATCTCCATCCAATGCCCATGGGACTCAACAGACAACAGACATTCCAGGGTATAGCTGCCGATGCTGCGCTCAGCATTCAAGTTTTTATTCTGTTTTGGGGACTCTCGATAGAGTGTCCCTCCCTATTGTGGGGTGCGGCCTTCCAGCAGAGGCTCCGCTGCCTGCTCCCACGGTTTGGGGCAGCAATAAGAACATGATGGAAGACCACACATAGCCTGTGATTTCAGGACTTGAAAGGCCGAGGCAGGCAGATTTTGAGTTTAAGGACCGGCTCTATCCACAACAAAACCAATCCCTAAAGGGTATATATACAATCACAACCACAGGCAACAGAACTGTGTCTTAGAAACAAGGTCACCTGAAGGGAGGAGAAGAGTTGGGAGAACTGCAAGGTGCTGGCTGGCTTGGTTTCTGATCCTGGGGCAGTTCCACAAATGCTTGCACTTGGTAAGTACTCCAACGGGGAAGGCAGTCATTGCATGTCACGCAGCTGCATCAGTAACACATTGTTGACTCAGAACATACCAGTCAGGGACCTGCACCATTCCCATGAGGCCTCCCCATCATAGATGCCTATACTGGCCCTGCTTCTGTTGCTATAACCAAACAACTGAGGGTAGGGAACCTTATAAAGTAAAAAGGTTGTTTGTGCTCACGGGTCTGGCCCAAGGAAAAAAAAAAAAAAAGATAATTAAAAAAAAAACCTACTTATGATGGTGGTCCCTTGGGGGCGGCACAGGGCTCCTGTGAAGACACAGCACACGCACACCTATGTGCATGTGTGAACGGCTCCTCTACTGTCCTGTTTCCGAGAAGCCACAAGGACTTAACTCTGGCTCCACCCTGATGACCCCACAGAAGCTAGTTCCTACGTTTCGAGTCTCCCTTCAAACGCCATGAACACTTAAGGGTCCCCTCTGGCTCTCTCGAATGGCAAGTTTTGAGAGGCTACCCTCTGTGAGGGTACAGGCCCAGGATGAGCAGTCCTATTTAATAATGACAAGAGCTCTGAATGAGTATAATGCGGCCACGAGTGAGATCTTCACCCCGTTCTGGTCAGGAGGTGCCTCATTGACTCGCTGAGGGAGCCCACCTGAGTTTATAGGCAGGTGGCCATAACAGGAAGGCCCGCCTACTGGCCTGAGTCTGAATCACCCCATGGAAAGACTGGGTCAAGCTCAGGAGGCAGAGTCCAAGCAGGCTGGAAACTGGGGTGGGGCGGTGCAAAAGCACCCCAAGAGCAGGACAAGAGAAGTGTCTGAGGCTGGATTCTGGTGGCTGCTGCTGAAGGCAAGGGATGGCCAGGATCAGCCTCTCTTGCAGCCGGGATCAGACTTTCTTGCTGCCCTGGTCTAGCGAGGAAGCCTAAGTCTGGGCAAATGGTTGACAGAGGACAAGCTGCCCACCTGCAGGCTGTATCTTGGAAAGGGCACAGATAATGACCACACAGTGAGAAAGGACAAGCACAGCCTTGCTTCGGGACGCCATCCCAGCTTCCAATCTGAAACCAAATCGGCTTTCTGCCACTGTGAAGGTAACACTGCACTGGGCTACCCTAGGGTTATAGAGAGCAGTGGGCAGCGAGAAGGGGCCTCTGTGCCAGCTTCCTCTCTCTGGGGCAAGCCTTGGAGAAGGTACAGCCCAAGCCTGTGCCCTCTCCAACAAGGACGTGACCTGGCCTGCAGTCCTCCTCAATCCCTGTCCTGGGGAGGAAGGCTGGCGATGGATGAAGGAGGGAACAAGCAGGGATTATTCTATTGTACCTAGTGATTATGCTGGGGGTGCTATCTCCCTGCGGCATTATCTCATCTGGAGAGAAGAGTGGGCTTTTTAATAGACGGACAGGCAGCTTCCACTTAAGGTTATTATAAAGAGAGAAAGCCCAGTCCCTCCCTCTTCAGGCAAGCACCACAAAGTTACAAAGTAATTAAAGGCTGCTGGGGAATCAGAGAAATTATACTAATTCCATCTGCAGAAAGCCTGCGAGAGTGCTGTCCCCTCCTGGTAGGAAACAAGGAGGGTCAGGCAACTGGCAAAACCATCAAAACAGCCCATTGTGCTGCGGGGCTCAATGTCACGGGGGCTGTGGGCCTGTCCCTGCGCTGTTTTGACAATACTTGTTAGGATAAGTGGAAGCCAAGGGCTGAGATTAAGTCCCATACTCCAGGGGACAGATAGAATGCGGCTCCCTGGAGGTTTACCAGCAGACTCCGCACCTCCATGTCCGTACCTCCATGCTGTCCCAGGCTCTGGCATCTGGGGGTATCACTGCCTCCTCTTCCTGGGGACACAGAGCCTGCCTCTGGCAGGGAACAGGCTTCGGGACACAGGTTCTCTAAGGTGCTTCCCCGAGACTCTTCTTTGACTAGCTCGGGTCCTCAGAACTTTGTCCCTGACCAAATGGCCTTGAACAAGACTTTGATCCTCTGTAGAAGTACCAACCACCTACAGAATGTGTGGACGGGTGTCACCCAGAGGGACAGGCGTCTATAGGAACACAGCATATTCTAGTTACTTCTCCATAGCCAGGACAGTTTTGCCCCTGCCATGTCTTTTTGTGCATGCCATTTCACATTGATAAGACTTTATGTTTATTTATGTATATGTGTGTCCACGTGAACATGTGTCACGTGTGTGCAGGTGCCTGGAGAGATCAGAGGAGGGTGTCAGATCCCCTGGAACTGACGTGATGAGCGGGTGGTTGTGAGCTGCCTGATGTGGGTGCTGGGAACAAAACTCAAAGCAAGTATTTTGAACCGCTGAGCTATCTAGGAGGCTTGGGTGGTTTATGAGCTTTCATGTTTTAAAAATGCATTATTATTTAAAGGGGATGGGTACATACTTGTCATGGCGTGCATGGGGAGAGGGGCTGTCACTGGTTCCTGATATCCCCTGACCAGTCTAAGGCAATGGAGCCCTTTCTCCATTTCCAGGAAACCCCCTGAGTTCCGGTACTTTCACAATCAGAGTTACCATCAAGAGCCATCCTTGTGCCTCCACTGAACTTTTTTATAACTCCATGTTTACCAGCTTTACAGATGAAGATGCTGAGACTCCGAATGGTGACAAGGTCACCCAGTGTGGAGTGAGAACTTGTATGCGTGGCTCTATCACAGGGACCTAAGCTGTGTGTCACAGTCAGACACAGGTCCTCCCGATGCAGAAAGCCATAGCTGCTCTTGGCTGTAGCCTCCTGGGACTCAGAATTTCCTAAGCCAGCCCCACCCAGGTCTTCCACTGCAGGAGAAGGCAAGGCAGGAGACCTCGCGGAGAGGGGAGGAGACTATTATAGGGTCAGGGAGCCACGAGACAACAGCTGGACTCCAGGCACAGGGCATCAGGCAGCAACCATCCTTTCCTTCCATGTCAAAGGTCATTACTGAATGGGGGAGACGCAAGAAAAGATGTCCTGGAATGTACCCGGGCAGCCCTGGTGCCTGCAAGCTGGCTCTACTAAGTCCCTGCTTCATAGTAATGGAATGGGACTTGCAGACACTGCCAGACCCTTCTACGAGCCCTAAGACTCCTGGCTAGAATTGACCAAGAAACTGATCAGAACGTTATTGTCTTTAAAATCAAATAGTCATTTTAATAATATCTGGCTCCTTGCATCATGTGGTGCTCTCTTTCCTTATGCGGAGGGTGCAGAAAGGGTGTCCATGAACCTGGCCACATCCCACATACACAAGGGAGGAGCTATTGCATTGGTATTGGGGAATCAGGGTCTTCAACTTCATTTCCCTGTACAGAAAATAGAGCAGGGAACCTCTGAGTGTATGGCTGGGTCCAGCTCCCTGGGCTCGGTTCTGGGGCCCACTGTTGTCCTTCCTGGTAGCTAAGCAGGACAAGGTGGCTAAGGACAGGATGGAGGCAAGCCCATGGGGCAGACGGTCACCTACTTCTCACCTGCACCGCTACCTGACAGCTGTAACAGCCGCAGCCTCTAGGTATCTACTAGCCCACAAGCTCAAGCAGCATCAAAAGGGCTATTGCTGAGTCCCCAAGCTGTAGGCAGACACCAGTGGGGCTGAGCATTATTGCATGGACCTAGCAGCGGGCTCTGGGTGAACCTGCCACAAGACCCCATTGATCTGTGTATAAACTATGAAGCCACTTTGACATCTTTGGGGTAAACCAAGACACAAGGCATAGTGTTCTTGGCCTCTTCCCCTAGTCTGGTTTAATCAGGATCCCATCCCTGCAGACTGCAATCCAACCAACAAGCAGGCACCAGGCAGGCACACAAACATACACACAAGGATGCTGTGAGTGGGTGGTGCTGAAAATCCTTGCAGGAGTGGGTTGCTGCTGGAAACAGTGAGGCAGGCTGCATACGTGCACAGGAGAAGGATATGGCTGTAGACAGTGGTATTGTACCAGTGATTTCACTTGGGGACTTGGAGAAAAGTCAGCAGGCACATTCATCTTGGCCTCAGTTTCCACAGTCTATCAATATAAAACTCAAATCTTCTCTTACTCAGGGCTGTCATGAAGATGGAAGGATAGCGAGAGTTCCCAGAGAAAGATGCATCGTGGTGCGTGTACACATTTGTGCGCATGTGTGAGTACACAAGCCACAGCACGTGTATGAAGGTTGGGGGACACCCTCATCTTCTACCTTGAGACAGTCTAGCCGGTCCTGTCTCTGCCTCCCATCCCACTGTAGGAGTGCTGGGTTACAGGTACATTCTATAATGCCCAGGTTTGCATGGTAACTGGGGATTCAAACTCAGGTACTCAAGTTTGTGTAGCAAGTGCTTTACTTAAGGAACCTTCCGTCTCCCAAGACCTAGATGGGAGTATTTAAATGATCGATTTCTCTCCTTCTCTCCCCATCCCCCCTCCCCTCTCACACGTACGCATGCACACATGCACATGCACACATTCACACACACACACACACACACACACACATACACACACACACACACACACACACACACACACACACACACCTCCTCGGAACAGGTGGTAGCTGGATACACAGGGGCAAGTCTCCTGCTAATCCACTGCTTGCCATCTTGGCTGCCACAGGCGGTGGCATGCTTGTCTGTTGAGAGCAGAGGAGACCAAAGCCACGAGTTAGAGGGTGGGGAGAGCCTTGGGGCATTGAGATATCGCAGGCTGCCGTCTTGGGGAGCCAGCTGCCCCACTGCGGCCAGCCGAGTCCCAGGCCAAGATGATTTATCGTTCTCTTTCTTCCAGATCAATAGGCCACTGGCTACAGATGCAGAGGAGGCTGCAGGCACTGTGGCCCCGACATATAAATTAATACAGACTGTCATGGGGCTGCCTCCCCTGGCATGGGGGAGACGACACTATCGTGAGTAAAGCTGACACCTTGGAGGGGATGGCAACACGTGCCAGGAGGATCCCCACCCCCACTTCCCCTGCAACCTGAGGATACAGTTCATAAATCATTCACCACTAACTTGCACGCTGAAGGCACACTGGGGTACTAAGAAGTTGGCCTCCTTGGCTCCTCACGTGCTCTGGGCTCACATAGTCACCACCTCACGGCTCCCCACACGCTTTAGCATGAAGAGTTCTAAGATCCAGGGACTGGCAGGCACCAGAGACTGCCAGCTTGGAACACAACGATTTTGAAATGCAGGAAGAAATGAGGAGTAGGGTATGAATAGGTTCCCCATCCCAGGTCAGTGCCTTGCCTACTGCTCACATCTATATGAGCTCCATAGAGGACCCTCCACCTTGGGAAGACCCTCTGACTGGCAATGCCCCTGTATAAACTCTCCTTTCATCTTCATGAGTGTTACCAGACAGAGAGGTGCCACAGCCCTGCCCATTGTGAGGGTCATCCACGACGAGACATTCGCTGGGCACCATGTATACGTCAGGCCCTGCACTGGTGCTCAGCAGGCCAAGACGACCAGGCCTCACCCTTGCTCTACTGTTAGAGACAGATATACAGATGGTAAAGGTCAGAACCACAGCCATGTGCCAGACACACGTTCAACCTGGTCCCCATGCTGAGCACTCAGCATGTGTACAGTACCGCCATTTCATTGGGTTGCAACAAGAACGTAAGTGTTTCCATTCTGTACGTGGAAGAGAAGCGGCTGTCCCAAGAGAAGATCAAATCTGGCTCCTCTTAAGGCCCCTCTCTTAGCTAAGGCCAGTTCTGAGCCTTTCTGTCCTCAGCTGCACATCTAGAATGGGAACAGCGAGAACGGCCATCCTGGAAGTGGCAGTGTGTTCCTAGTGTGATGGTTTGACTACAAATGGCCCCTAGAGGCTCTTCTATTTGAATGCTTGGTTCCCAGTTGGTGGAACTGTTTGGGAAGAGCTAGGAGGCGTGGCCTTGGTGGAGGAGGTGTGTCATTGGGCACAGGCTTTAAGGCTTCAAAAGCCCATGCCATTCCCAGCTAGTCCTTTCTGCCTCCTACTGGTGGATCAGGATGAAAGCTCTCACCTACTCCAGCACCATGTCTGCCTGCCTGCTGCCATGCTCCCTGCCATGAGGACCATGGGACTCACTTAACTGCCTCAGTTACTATTCTATTGCTGTGCTAAGACACCACGACTAAGACAACTTATAGAAGAAAGCATTTAGTAGAGGCTTACGGTTTCAGAAGGTCAGTCCAAGATCATCACGAGTTGCCTTGGTCATGGTGTCTCATCACAGCAATAGAAAATCAACCAGACTGCTTTCATTAGCTGATGGCCGCCCTTCTGTCCCATCTATGTACAAGGTCCAGGCAGTGAGTAATGGTCCTCTGTCCTTATTAAGTGACAAGAACAGGTCCCCCAGTAGGACCCCAGGCCGCTCTTGGTAAGGGTCCTCCTTGAGCTCCTGGACCTCTTTTACCTCCTCCCTAGCCTCTTCACTTCACAACAAGTCACCTGAAGCCACAGCTGACAAAGATCTCTGTGGGATCCAAGTGCCACAGAGACCTGAGCCTAGGGAACCTACCTTCAGCCTGGCTTTGTCTCCATTTGTCTCTTTGAGGTAGCTTGGGGACTTGTAAGGAACCTATGCTCCTAGCCCTCAGCTACCATTTTGTCTCAGCAGGGCCTCCAGTTTGAGTTAGAATTCACCTTCTTTTGGAAAGTCCAGCATATAAAAAAAAGATAGCAAAGGATTCCAGGAAATGCATGGTATTAGTAGCCTACCCTAAGGAACTCCTATACATCCTTCTAGGACCCAGCACATACAGCCCACATGCTTCCACTGGGCTGCGCACACAAAGCCACCATAACATTGAACAACAGGAGGCACAGTAAAGAGAGCGAAAGAGCACACCGGTTCCTCCCTTTAGAAAACGGCTTTCCCTGAGGGTGAAGGTCTCAACCTTATTCAGCAGCATTAGGCTAAGAACCTCTCCTACCTACATTAACATAAATCTAATAATCCTATTGGTGACAAGCATTGTCATTCATCTTCTAGAGAAGATGACAGAGGGGGCAGGCCTGTAATTCTAGCTCTTCGGTATAGTGTGGTCAAGACCGGCCTGGGTCACTTGGTGAGACTATTTCAAAATCAAAGGTAAAGGGGGTCTGGCTGTGTGTCAGCATTAGGGCACTTTGCACATGTGCAAAGCCCCTTTAATCAGAGAGACAGACAGACAGACAGACAGACACAGACGAAGGGGGTGCATGGAGGGATGGGAATGAATATGAATGGAGAGAGCAAGTCACTCATTTAAAGCAGCATAACTGGAGAATGGGGACATCTACTCCCCACCCCCTGCATGTCCAAGTCATCCAAGGTCCCCCCCACTCCCCATGCCCAAGTCATCAAAGGGTTCCGCCCAGGAGCTGTTCAACACATGTTTTCCACAGTCACGGGGAAAAAGCACACTGAAGATCAGGTTGTGCAGATCCAACCTGGGCTTTGAAGGCTCAACTGAGTTGGACTTTAATGAGTTAGCAAGGTAAGTGTGGCAATAGAGAAAGACAGGCGGGCAGACTAAACACGCTGAAGCAGTCCTCCAGTGGACAGGAGGATTCAGCCGAGTGAGGTAGAAGGTGTGTTGTGACCAGATGGATAAAAGCCAGAGCTGCCCAGCTGAGGAGGCTCCACTTGTGCGAACATCAAGGACACCGTGTCCCTGAGACTCCAGGGAACTCTCGACGGCTTGTTCCGGAAGCCACCAACCCTTCCAGACTTCTAATCTCACACCTACCCTCCTGCCCAAATACCCCAGCATCAGGGTCACCTCCCCTGGCACCCTGCAGGACTGAGAACTGGCCTCCAGAGAGGAACAAGCTAGGCAGTGCTGAAGGTCAGCAAGGCGAGCCAGGCCCCCTCGCCGAGGTAGTGGTGCAGTACCGCTGGGCACAGACACAGGCAAACACGTTTGAGCAAATTGGCAGGCCATAAAAGTCTATTACAGCAAATCAAACAGCAGTCAGCGTGACAGCCATTAGGCTGAAATGAATACACGGGGGCTTAATGAGGTCTGTCGAGGCTGGCTTGGTGAATTAAGTTGCCAATTCTAGCCGGATTTCCCCTTTCTTTACGGACTTGAAAGCATCCGCGCTCCCTCGTTAGAGCTTCGACAAGTGAATTGCGGGGCCTTTTGCCCTGAT